AAGAGTCACGGAGACATCATGGACAGTGCCGAGGTTGAAGCCTCTCACAATGCACGAAATCGAAGTGCGGACAAAGAATAAACCTGATGACAGCACAGGAATGAGTGGTGGCCTTGGGGATCCGGCGACCGTGGAAGTTGAAACTTTGCCGGGCGGTAAGCACTCACTACTTTCCTTAGTATAGCCATGCGCACTGGATTCGGCAGTAATACTTTGGTTCATATGAGCCTACAAAAGGAACTCTTAAGTGCAAATCCTTTTTCTGGGAAAAGCTGGAAAAAGTGCAGTTAGCGGTCAATATATCGAATATTATTATGCAATAATAGTATAGCAAATAATAATAGCATACCAAATTATAATAATGTTTATAACCTAATATGTATATTCTTAATATAATTTTTGAAATAAAAAATAGGATAACGTTATTAAACAAGCTTTGGCTCCGATCTCACGATGTGCTTCTAATGCGGGTTTTTTTTGAAGTAGCATAGCACTCTTCATCAAGGAGACTATGAAATTTGGTGGTAAATCCATCAATGCTATTGTGCCTGCTGGAACCGCTGTTAGCATTTTTAGGGTCTGTATATAAGCAGTGACCGCCTTCATTGCTTTCCTTCGACCCAGCGGTTTCATTTTTCATGCATACTATGGAGGCCTTGGGCCTTATTCATTTGAGTTAAATGCAGTGGGCCTTTTCTGTGCATTGGCATTTCTATTGGGTGATTGGAGCAGGCCCACTGGAACAATATACTGTCGCCATGACTTGGGAAGTTCTGGTTTCATCGAATTATGTATGCACTCGGCGATAGGAGAGTAACATGTTTTCCTTAGTTCAAACATCAATAAATTTTTTTTCTAACGCCCATGGGACGCAGTTCTTACTGTCACAGTTTGGATCGATCAAGGTTTGAGCACGATCGCAGCCGAAAACGTGTTGAAATTAAATTTATCTCCTGAGTATTTTGTCCTCCAGGTTGTATGATCGCCTGCTTTGGCCAAAATGAGCCTTAGTGCCGAATATGGATTGGCCAGATCGTTGAAATTATTGATAAGCTGAGGGCCCGAGTCTTAATCTAAACAAATGGGTTGGGCTGGTGTACTTGCATATGATTGAGGCATTCGGGAAATGCCACTGAGAGTCACTTTTTGTCTGTTGTTCTGAGCAGAGGTCGAGCACTACAACACGCGAAAACCTGTTGTTGTAATATAACTTAATTCCTGAGTACTTTGTACATGCGCATATGCAGTCCAGTGTTTATGCATTTTTGTGAATTTCCCGTAGCAATAATCAAATGTCTTACTTTTGTTTCTTCTTCAGGTTCATTTGAGCCAACTAAGGCAGCTATAGCAGTCTTAACAGATACATCGGTACAGGTGACTTGGTCGCCACCAGAAGGCCTGTTTGGTACAGTTGCTGCGTACTATGTTGTGGTCAAGCAGGCGGGAAGTGAAGTCCGCAGGGAAAGGGTATCAGCCCCCGAGACAAGCCTTGTTTTGACGGGTTTAGGTGCTGGCGTGAAATACGACTTCTACGTTCAGGCACAGATTGCGCCAAACAGCCAGGGGCTGGGCGGTGGCCTGGGTCCGGAAGTCCTCGTCACGGAAACAAGTCAGTCTTAAACCAGTCATTTTTAACTTTTTTGAGTCAAAATGTGATTTTTTATGCTACCCACGAATGCATGTTGTTGAAGAGAAGTCGATAATTATCTGCGAGGAGAAAAGGTGTAATGGACGTTTCGGTTGCCTTAACAAATATGTCAAAAGAATTTTTTAGCAGTCTCTTTAATAAGGAAGGTGATAGATAAAACA